AGAGTAGACAGACATCACCAAAGAGCCTTTTTTATAAGCATTACAAAACATTTAAGTGTAAAACTCTGTCCAGAAAATACACAAGATTCTTGCAGACTCATACTTTATTATTTATTTTTCAACCAACTTTACTTCAGTTTTAACAAAATGCCTTCATTTAAAATGCCATTGAGTTAATATTTAAAAATATTTAATGAGAAAATAGGCAAAAGGCATGACAGACCATATCCATATAGCACATAAGCACATGAAAATGTGGGCAACATTATTAGTATATGGGGGAATACAAACTAAACCATAGCAAGGTATCATACCCTATCACAATGCTAAAATAAAACACAGTAATAATACCAAATGCTGGCAAGGATGCAGAGAAACTAGATCACATTGCTAGTGGCAATATAAAATGACACGATCATTCTGGGAAGAGTATGGCAATTTCTTACAAAACTAAAGATTAGTTTGCCGTATGACCCAGCAATTATACTCTTGGACATTTTATCCCAAAGACATAAAAACTTATGTTCATACAAAAACACACATTTTTAACAGCTTTATTGTAATAGCTAAAATCTAGAAACAAGCCTATGATATTTGATTTCTAGTAAGAAATATATATTATTTGGTCTTAGTCCCCACTCCTGGCACAGAACTACTTAAATCCTTGGAATTTCAGAAGAGCGTTTTGCATGCTAATGAAGTGACTGACAGCAGTCTCTTCAAGAGCTTCCTGATAAAGGCTGGTTGCCAGAGGAACCCAACATATTATCAAAGGAACTTCATTCCCCCCACCTCCCCTCGAGGGGGAGGGGAGAGTGTCTGAAGGTTGAATTTATCACCAATGACAATGATCTAATTAATCATCCCTACATAATGAAGAGTCCATAAAAACCTTAAAGGACAGGGTTCAGAGAGATTCTGGGATGCTAAACTCATAAGGTTTCATGCCCTAGGAGGGCATGGAAGCTTCACACTCCTTCCTCTATACCTTGCCCTATGCATTTGGCTGTTCATCTGTATCCTTGGTAACATCCTTTATAATAAACCAGTAAACACAAGTAGAGCACTATCGTGGGTTCTGTGAGCCGCTGTAACAAATGAACTAAGCCCAAGAAGGGAGTTGTGAGAACTCCATTTTATAGCCAAGCTACCAAAAGTTCTAGAGGCACAGTCCTGGGGTTGGTACTTGAAGTGGGCAGTCTTATGGGACTGAGCCTTTAGCCTGTGAGAGCTAACTCCAGATGGATAGTCTTAGAATTAACACAGCTGTTGTCAGGAAATTGGTTGTTGGAGGAAACTCCCCACCCTACATAGGTTACAAAAGTGTTCTATGTTGAGTATGAGACTAGGAAAAACGTTTTTGTGTTTTTCTGTCTCATAGAAACCTAGATACTCTTCGATGGGAAAATGGTTAAACACACTGGTACCTCTGTACCATAGAATACTACTCAGCAATAAAAAGGAACAAATTATTGACACATGCAGCAACCTGAATGGATCTCAAGGGAATTATGTAAAACGAAAAGAACCAATTTCAAAAGTTCACATACTGTATGATTCCATTTATCTAGCATTTTTGAAATGACAAAATTAAACAGATGACGAACAGAGTTGTGGTTGCCAGGAATTAAAGAAGTAAAAGGGGAAGGAAATGTGGCTTTAGTTAAAAAATAGCACAAAGAATGTTTATGATGGAACTGCTCTGTATCTTAACTGTGGCAGTGAACACACAGTGTACACCTATGATAAAATTACATTGAACTAAATAGACATATATATGCCTGAGTATACATAAAACTGGTAAAATCTAGAAAAGGTCAGTGAACTGGATTAATGTCAATTTCCTGTGATGTACCATGCTTTTGCAGAGTGTTACCAGGGCAGGAAATTGAGTGAAGGATATATGTTACCTCTTTATATTATTTCTTACAGCTGCTTGTGAATCGACAGTTATACCCAAATTAAAATTAGGGTATTTTTTAAAGGCATCAATACTGAGAGTAGTTGATCAGAGGCTTTTAGATCAGCAAAATTGTGCTCAAATTTTAGCTTCCACTTACTATATGTAGGACCTTGAGCTATTTCTTTAACCTTTCTGTGCCTCAGTTTCATCCTTTTCAAAGTGGGGACAATAATACTACTTTCTCTCATTGAGTGGTTTTGAGGATTAACTAGCTCAGAGTTGCTGGTGAGTTTTTAAAATATTGTTATTATGCAATGTTCATAAAATATGTATGCAATTTAAAATAGCCGCTCATTTACATTGGGTCATAAAAATATTTTTGTCTTTTCAGTTATAAGGATAGGCACTCTTGACTTTCCTGCAGATACTTTTTGATATCACTTAGGTATTTTGTGTTTCATTAAGTCGTGTCTTTATTTCTTCATTCATGGGATTTACTGTATTCTTTTTCTGCCTTCCTGAGTTTGACCCTTATTAAATATTTTTGTGATACATGCATATGAAACTGGAGATTTCTCTACAACTGTTTTAGCTAAATCACAAAATTTTGGTATTGGCAACCCAGTATTTTCATTGTTCAGCTATAGATATAGCTATTTTTTCCCTGTTCCCAGAATTATTTGAAAATGTGTTCTTCAGTTTCCAAACATATTTCAGGGGGATCTATATAAAACTTTTTTTATGGATTAGCATTTTATGTACTTCAAAAATGTGTTTTTAAATTAAGTATAGAATTTTATCTTCATTCAAACCTTTGTTTATTTGGCCATTCAAGTCTTTACTATTCTTACTAATTTTTGGTCTGGTTAGTCTAGTGAAACTACTCTATTTACAGATAAGTCTTTCTCTCCTTAAAATTTTGCTAGCTTTTACTTTGTAAATTTTTGGCTATATTGTCAGGTATAATAGATTCAGAGTTGTGATTATTTTCTTCTGAATTGTTCATTTTATCATAATGTCATAACAATGCTTTTTGCCTTAAACATATATCTGATCTGATAGTAATACAGTCATTTAAACTTTTTAATTTAGTATTTGTGCAGTGTAGATGTCCATGATTTAGATTTCTCAGTAATACATTTCTTTTCTCAATTAGGAAGCTGGGCTTTCTCTGACAGGTTTCTTTGCTTCTCTCCCATATGAAACCTCAAACTCCTGGGCTCCAGCAATCTTCTTGCCCCAGCCTCCCAAGTAGCTGGGACTACAGGTTTGCACCATGATGCCTGGCTAATTTTTCTATTTTCAGTAGAGACAAGGTCTCTTGCTTAGATTGGTCTCAAACTCCTGAGCCCAAGCGGTCCTCCCACTTCAGCCTCCCAGAGTGCTAGGATCACAGGCATGAGCTACCACGCCCAGCCATGATGTCTCTTTTTAAGTCCATCCATGATAGTGAAGGAAGGGTTCTCATTTCCAATCCCTTGCCATATACAGGCCTAAAATTTCATCTTCTTTCTCCATGAGGACTCAAAACCCAAACCTCTATTTTATTAAAACTGACTGCCTTTCTTTAGTTCCCTCCCTCTTCTCCAAAACCCACCTGTATACATACACTGTCAGCTGGGATGCTTACTGTAACTTTTGGTTTTCAGTTATGGTCCAGGGAGATCCCCCTTTCAGATTCAGCTATGCATTTAAAGAATGTTGGTTGTCTTTTCTTCTAGATTTTAGAGATGTATGTGTGGAGGGAAGGATGTCAAGGTTATTTGGTCAGGGATGATGCTAGAAGGGTCGTTCTCACTAGAAGTACTCGTCTATCCTGAGAATGGTGCCGTGATGTTCAACAACTGTACAAGACTCTGATCTGCCCTTTTGAGACTTGACATATTAATTACCTAAATCTCTTGCTGTCAGCATAATCTCTTGCTGTCCCCTGGTACAGTGACAGCACCTACAAAGACCTGCTATGAATGCTTTTCTTGCTTCACAGCCATTTTGAACTTAGGAAACTAAAAGACTGGTCTTGAGAACACCAAGATTTTTTTATCAAAAATCTCAAACTTACACATTTGGCAATGCTTACTAAATAAAGTAATAAATAGCCTTAAAATCTTACTGTTGCTTACATAACTCGCCTATTAAATAGAATCTTAGCAGTTATAAACTGATTTGGGGTGGCGCCTGTGGCTCAGTGAGTAGGGTACTGGCCCCATATACTGAGGGTGGCAGGTTCAAACCTGGCCCCAGCCAAACTGCAACAAAAAATAGCCAGGCATCGTGGTGGGCACCTGTAGTCCTAGCTACTTGGAAGGCTAAGGCAAGAGAATCGCCTAAGCCCAAGAGCTAGGGGTTGTTGTGAGCTGTGACGCCACAGCACTCTACTGAGGGTGACGAAGTGAGACTCTATCTCTTTAAAAAAAAATGATTTGAACTTAATTTTTTTTTGATTGAAGTTTTAAAAACTGCTAATCAAATTTCAAAATTATGTGAGGAACATACACTAGCAATCTAGCTATCAAAAGGAAAAGGTAGGCTCCACTTATAGCACATTTAAAAAGTAGAATCTAAGGAAAGGTTTATAAATTAAAACTAACTGTACTATAGTAATGCAACTAATATAAAATATAACTAATATAGTTGTATATAAACTAGACATTATTTACAAATAGTAATAGTCTTAGTTCATGTTTTAAACCATGCCGTGGAGTAATAATTACGTATTTCTGTACTTTCTGATGTTTGAATCTTAGAAATATGCAAAAATCCTTAAAGCTACTGAAATCCAACAAAGTTTTCTTTGTAGCTATTTTTAGAGATCAGAGTCAGTTTTCCCCTCATGGACATTCCTGTAATTGCCTCAAAAGTAAATTGAGTCCCTAAAACATGAAATGGCAGTATTCTTCATCAGAAGCAGAGTGTTAATGATTTTGGTATTGGTGTTTAGCTCTCTGTGCCCAAAATGACAAATTCTGAAATGTCTGTTTTTATTTATTGTTTATTCTTATGTACCCAAGGAAAAATCCAGTTTACTTTAGCCACTGGCCTGGACTATTTTACCTAATAAAAGATGCATCTCTAACAACTATACATTTCCTTCTAGGTTACCTTCCGAACAAGAATCTACCACTGTAATATTAACAGCCAAGGCGTGATCTGTCTGGACATTCTAAAGGACAACTGGAGTCCGGCCCTAACCATTTCTAAGGTTCTCCTCTCCATCTGCTCCCTTCTTACAGATTGCAACCCTGGTAAGAGACTTAAACCTAGTGTTTAGTTGGAGCTTTTCTAGACTTAAATGCTGACCTTTCTGACTTGTTTACTTCTACTACAGATTTAAAATTTTCATAGTATGTAACTGTTTTCTTTTTAAATTGAGTCTTCTCATTAATCTTTTTATTACCTATTATTTGCCAAAAAAGAAGCATGGTGTGATAAATACTAATGAAAAATCATTTTAGATGGGAAAGTGCACTTAAAGATTATGTTAAGTTCTCTTGCCAAATAATAAAAATTCAAATTGAATAGCTTAATCTTTAATTAGATACCTACTAGAAAATGTTAATTTGAGAAATGTGACTATGAAAATCTGATAACAACCACACAGCACCATACAGACCTGACCTTTCTGGCATCCTAATAACTACACATCCTGACAAGCTATTAGAACAAAAAAGCTGGATGGTCCTGAACTAGAAAATACCTCCAAAAGTAAATAAGGAAATACAACTTCTCAGAAAAACTACAGGGCATATGGGTCTTTGTGGCTTGTTGGCATGCTTACCACTGAAAGTGCCTGTGTGTTCCTAGATTAGTCTTTGACCAGTTTCTTTCACTAAAGGCAAACCAACTGCCAATGCTTTACATATTTGGGTTTATTTTGAAAAACACAAAAATCCTGAGGTAGCTATAGGGTTTTCATTGATATTTTAGTGGGGATAGTCTTCTTTAAGTCTAATACTTAATAGTTTTAATATTGCGTGAGATTCCATTTTTCATACTCAGAGATAAACTCTGTTCACTAGATAAGTGAAATTATAGGCAAAAGAGAAGTGACAAGTGTAAACTGGAGTCACTTTGGCTCCTGGCTGGTTTATAAAACATGAAGAAACTGTCATCTTTTCTACTTTTGTATGTTTTCTATTTTTTGGTAATAAAAATTTTTTAAATGAAAATATGTAAAAAACAATTTAGTAAAATTAAAATGAATTTAAAGTACTTTAAGGTAGCAAACTAATGTTTTTAAGGCATAAAAGTTGTATAAGATCATTATGAAGTATTTTTAAAATTAATCTATACTTCACCCCAGATAATAATGTCCAATAATGTTACACTAATTTAAAGTTGATTTTGTCCTTTTAATCCTGTCGTCCCTGTCTCCATCCCACTTATCTGCCACTGTGTTTGACCTCATTTGGAGGTAACGTGTTCACAAGAAGGCTTTTTTGTTTGTGGTGATTTGAAGCCCGGCTGGCCTTGCCTTCCAGTCAGCTGAAATGCCACCTGATAACGCTGAGTAAGACTATATGTCAGAGTTTGTTTTTGGTTCAGATATCGCTGCTTAAAGGAATAGAGTCATCCCACTTTTTCAGTCTCAGTAGACTTTTTCTGCTTAGATTTAAGTTAAATTTCAGCCTAAACGATCTTCAGATTGTCACAAATGTTTGGTAGAATATAAATAAATAAGATTTTTCCTATACTAAATCTGTAGAGCCACTTTAACACCTGAAGTGCTGTCAGTTCAAAAGTAGTCCTTGCATAACATGAATTTAACCAACTTTAGAAATGTTTTCTCACTTTTGTCCATATATATATAGAGAGAGAGAGAGATAGATTTTTAAAATCTTTTTCATATTCTTCTTTTAATTTACATTTGTCACTTTCAAGAATTTTTAGTATATTCAAAAAGAAGTGTTACATGTTTTGGGGGTGGGGTTACACATTCTTACCAGCATGATTTTTGTAGATAACAGGTGTGAATTTAAAAACTAACAATACTATTGCTCAGCGCCTGTAGCACAGTGGTTACAGTGCTAGCCACATATACCAAGGCTGGTGGGTTCCAATCCAACTGGGGCCTGCTAAACAACAATAACAACTATAACAAAAAATGGCCAGGCATTGTGACGGGTGCCTGTAGTCCAGGTACTTGGGAGGCTGAGGCAAGAGAATCACTTAAGCCCAAGAGTTGGAGGTTGCTGTGAGCTGTGACGTCATGACACTCTACTGAGGGCAACATAGTAAAACTCTCTCAAGAAAAAAAAAAACTAACTTCACTAGCTGGGCATGAGGGCTCATTCCTGTAATCCCAGAATTTTGGAAGGCTGAAGGGGAGGATCACTTGCAGCCAGGAGATTAAGACCAGCCTGAGAAAAATAATGAGATCGCATCTCTACAAAAAAAAATAGCTGAGCATAGTGGCACAGGCCTCTAGTCCCAGGTACATAGGCTGAGGCCAGGAAGATCACTTGAGCCCAGCAGTTTGAGGTTGCAGTGAACTATGATGACATCTATCCCAGGCAACAGGGCAAGACCCTGTCTCTGAAAATAAGTAAATAAAAACTGAGTTTGATCTTGTAACTTAAACTTTCCTAAGCCTCAGTTTCTGATGTAAAAGGGGATTTCTAGGTAGGGGATTTCAGCCCTACCCAAGTCCCTGCATTCCTGTGAGTTTCACATGCGATGGTGTATGTGAAAGGCCTCCCTTTGTGAACATTAACGTGTTGTTGATGTAATTTCCCAGAATTATTTAGTGTGCCAAATGTTCATACCGTAGAGAACTAGTAAGTACCACTCAGTTGAATTTGATAGAAGATAATATTAAATAATATCTAATACTACCACCTCAGCATTGACACTCTTGGATTTTATAATCTAAAAAAGCCTAATTTTTAATTGGTAGTGTCTGTTCTCTTTTTAGAAGAGTTATCACTTAGGTGTCAAATGACCATATAATATCAGCCAGTTGATGAATGCACTAGCAATAATCATTCTGTTTTTAACACAGTGGTCTAGGTCGATCTAACTACTGGTCTTCTTAGGCCTCCACTCCATAGTGGTGTTTGTCCAGCCTGATAGAGCTCTCTGATTTGTCCTAATACCTGTCTGCAGAGTGTAGCTGGGACATGTAATCCGGAACAAAGTAGCAGCAGAGAGGAGTATCTCTAATGGGCAGCGCTAGCCTCCCAGATTCTGAGGTTGGGCCTACTTGGTGAATGTGGTTTAACTCATGAATTGTCAGAGTTGAGAATACAATTAAAGAATTAAATTTCCATATTTCATGAACTCTCTTATTTGGAAATACCCTTGTCAAGTATTTACTCCGTTAATATGAAATTTAAGTTCTGTTTCATTTGGTTTCATGTTTTGGGGTTTATTTTTGTGATTTTGCTGGCTTTTTTAAAAACATTTTTGTAATTTTTTTTTTTGCAGGTTTTTTTTTTTTTTTTTTTTTTTTTGGCCAAGGCTGGGTTTGAACCCACCACCTCCAGTATATGGGGCCAACACCCTACTCCTTTGAGCCATAGGCACTGCCCTGTAATATTCTTTATATGAAATCTGTTTAAGTATTTTTTAAATGTGCTTATGTTATGGTCTTCAGACCTTTAAGTAGTTAGTATTTCACCTCATACAAAGTCAACTATCCTGAAAATAGAAATAATGTTGAGATAAAACAAAATCAACAGTTTTTCTATACCAAATACTTTTATTTACAGAGTAATGTCTAGAAATATTTCTAACCTTTTCTCCCTTCTTTTTCTGAAAAGTATATAAATGTGCATACCATCTGACATTATTTTACTAATCTCAGTTCTATTTTTCTGCTCTACTGCTGTTACTTTCTAACATGTTATAAGCTTATTTCATTGTAAACACAATTCTAATACTGTATTATTTGGCGGGGGAACCTCCAAAAATATATAACTCTTATGAGACCACTCGAAATTTGAAGCATTTGATACTGAGAAATTTTTGCCAGAAATATTTATGCTTGAGAATAGAATTGTGATTATGAATTTTTTACACGTTGTTACATTTTAGAGATAAATACTGAATTATAATATTTGTAAATAAAATTTTTTGATACATGGAATTCACTTCAAAATAATCCAGAAAGGCTCGGTGCCTATAGTACATTACAGTACCAGCCACACACAGCAGGGCTGGTGGGTTCGAACCCATCCCAGACCAGCTAAAACAACCTTAACAACTGCAACAAGAAATAGCCGGGCATTGTGGCAGGCACCTGTAGTCCCAGCTACTTGGGAGGCTGAGGCAAGAGAATTGCTTAAGCCCAAGAGTTTGAGGTTGCTGTGAGCTATGACTCCATAGCACTCTACTGGGGGTAACATAGGGAGACACTGTCTCAAAAAAAAAAAAAAAAAAATCGGCTCCGTGCCTTTGGCTCAAGTGGCTAAGGCTCCAGCCACATACACCTGAGCTGGTGGGTTCGAAATCCAGCCCGGGCCTGCCAAACAACAATTAAGGCTGTCACCAAAACATAGCACGTTTGTGGTGGGACCTGTAGTCCCAGCTACTTGGGAGGCAGAGGCAAGAGAATTGCTTAAGCCCAGGAGTTGGGGGTTGCTGTGAACTGTGATGTCATGGCACTCTACCCAGGGCGATAACTTGAGGCTCTGTCTCAAAAGAAAAATAAAAAATCCAGGAAGTTGGGGGTGGGTCAAGGTATAGAAGATATCAAGATCTATTGTTCTAGTTGTTGGGTCTGAGTGATAACTACATGGGCGAAGTTCATTATGCTATTCTGTTTTGGAATATGTTTGAAATTTTTCATAATAACTTTTTTTAATGGCTAAAGATTAAACATACAAGCAGTATATATTACATCCTTACTGAACATCATCATAGGTTCTTGGAAATTATGACTTTAAACAAGATGCCATAGTATCTTAACTCTTGTTTATACATAGCCCACAGTCAAACTAAAGTCTCAGTTTCCAAAAACCTACTTACTACTTTAAGTGAAGACTTAATGTAATCTGTCAAAGTGTAGGATTTGGCTCTCTTTTTCTCAGGGAGAGATTCCTTTGGGCTCTGACCCTGGCTTGTGTATTTCATTCTTCTATCGTCTGTCTTGTGGTACAGCCTGGACCAGCAGGGGCCTGCATTCATAAGCAACTATGAAGTCTTTGTCTGCCAATCTTCAAACAGGCAGAACTATATCGATTGGGTCAAATAAAAATGGCTCTAAGCATACCCCCAAACATTAACACTCAGGATGGATGAGCTG